TTTTTTTTTTTTTTTTTTGAAAATCCAAGTTAAAACATTTATCGTGAAACGACGCTACTTACTAACTACAGCAATTAAACACATCCAAACAATCAGTTCAATGAACCTACGCATGCTCGAGATATCAAAATAACAATCCCAATAATCATAATTTTAAAATCATTCCCAAACGTCTAGCATGAATCAAGGTTCAAACGAAACTCAAACATAGTTCGAAAGCAAACAAATAAATAATCTAAAGTATTTGAAAGAAAATAAAATAAGTAACAAGTTCATGCGGAAGCATAAGATATCATTAAACAGTGACCACCATCTCGCTCATCCTACGCCACCGCCTCCAGCTCGTCTCAACCTAAAACAAAGGAAGAGAGAAAACAACAAAGAAAATAATGGGGGTGAGCATAACCAACAAGCTCACCATTATCGTACAGTATATCTCGCATAACATTTTAAACCATCATAACTATAGTATTCAGTATGCATAGAATCCAACAGTCTAACTCCCTACTTGGCCCTATCGCAAACCTCCTATGTACATACAACAACCTTCCGATCACACATGGCAAGGAAGTAACTGGAACCCTTCCCATCACCGAATGGCTACGGGCCTGGGATCCTTCCCAGGAGACAGTAGAGATGTTTTTCCCATTCACGAATATCATACAGACCTGGGCGTCACCTCTCCGAATCTACGGGCCGATGATCTCTCACTGTTTATGCATCCTCAAAGGCACTAACATACGGGACAGTTAGACTAGGGTTCTCACGCATACATCATTTTTCAAAACAAAGCATTTATACGAAATATTAAGTGCAATAAATATAGAATACATCATAAATGTATCCACCTGATAGCAGCTACAGTTCAAATCACAAATCTCGAGACGAGGCGAGGTTCAAAACCTCTCGACACCTACATTAAGTCCAGATACTAAAGTCAACACTTTAATCTAGACCTATGTAGCAAATTCACAAGTTGACTTAGCCGAACTCGGTTCGACCAAGTGGTTCGTGAAGTTCTGTGGATATGGGAACACTAGGACTTAGACTAGATCAAACCACATATTCGAGTTCACACAAAAGCAAGTGAAAGACAACAAACGAGCCACAAGCAAAACACATGGCACATTTGGTCATCAACACTTAACACATTTCAACATAGAAAAACAATTTCTCAAATTCACACTTGAATTAGAAGGCATATCAAATCAATAAGTTAGGTCCTGAAACTTTAACATAAATTTCACATCCCAGTTCTAAGTAAGATCACCCAATTTCAGCTTCAAACTCCTTATGCATAATTTTATAAAATTCAAACAAGTTTTTCAGCAAAAATGAGTTTAAATTAAAAGCACATGATAATGGACGATTCAGGCTATGAAATTTTTATCTAAAATACTACAGCATATGAACAGCATCACATAAATTTTTCAGCCTTCAACACTCAGGAAAACATTTTTATAAAATTAAAACCACAATCAGCCAAATATCACAATTATATCAGAACTGATCACAAATGAACTCCAAAAATTCTAAAATTTTTACAACCTGCTAAACATCATATAATCAACATCTCCACAAATTGTCAGAATTTTTCAACTTCAGAAACATTTATCATAATTAAAATAAATTCGGGCAGAATAACAAAATAATTTGTTAACCTTATCAAACCTAGTTCGAAAATTCTAAAAATTTTACACCACATATAATCATGCCTGAAACATAAATACTCGAAAACTGGCCAGAAAAGAACACTACAGAATTACTTATACATTTTACAAGAAACTGAACAGAAAACAATTTAATTTTTAAAAATATCTAAACACCTTTAAAAATCACGAAACTTTTACAACAGCTACATATTCATCAAAAACAGTTGCTCCTAAAATTTCAAGGAAATCGGACTAGTATTCGATTTATAGTGCATTTTTCAATTAAAACAGTCAGAATAAATTTCGAAAAATCATAACGGCAATTATACACTTCCAATCGACACAAGGCCAACGCCATTGTGTTTGAATTAATCCAAAGTTCCTAAATCCACAGCAACTAATCACGCACGACCAGTTCTCGCTTGATTCGCACGAATCGACGAGATACACATCAAAATTACGATAATAAAATGAACGATAACATCACATAAAATCATATAGCATCACAACACATATATTGATCAACGAACACACTAGGCACAACCGAACATTATATTATTCATGAAATATTTAAACAGGGAGTCGAGACTCGATACCGAGCGAGTAGGGTTCGAACGGCTCGACGGCGAACGGTGGCGAAAGAGCTCGACGGAGGCTCGCGTCTCGTTGGAAGGAGGAGGTGCTGCAGCGGCTGAGAAGGGAAGGGTCGCTGCTGCTGTTAGGTCGCCGGACGTGGCTGCAAGGTTGCCGGAGGAGAAGCTGCTCGTCGGAGATCGCCGCGTGAGTTGCTGCTCGCCGGAAAAGTCACGAACTGGGGTCGCCGGAGGTGATGCTTCACGTCGACGATGATGGACTGACGGGAGGATGATGAGATGACGAGGACGAGGGAGATGAGGGCTCACGATGAAGAAGATGGGAGAAGAATGATCCGAAAGGAAAAACACACGTGAGAGAGAGAGATGAGATCGGAACAGGGAAAAAGAAAAATCCCAAGGCTGCGGGAATGTGTATAGGAAGAGAGAAGAGAACCAAAACGTGAAACACATATATATTCACTCATAGGTTAACCTAAGTCTTGTTGCCCAAGACTTTAATTCCCACACAACTCACGTGAAAAACAAAGGAGAAGGAAGAAAAATAATCCTGTTGGGCCGGTTTGGGCTCGCGGATCAGCCCGGAAAAATGGGCGAAGGCTCGGGCCAGATTTTCGGGTTCGGTTCGCAAATTAAATCGGCTCACGGGCCCGATTACAATTCAAACGGATATTCTCGGGCCCAATTTCGGTTCCAACGAAAATTTTCGGGCTCGATAACGAATTCAACGAGTGATAAAAAAAAATAAACCAAACAATATATATTTTACATATATATATATTAATACACATTATTCACATTTGATAATTTAATAAAATCACGAAAATCAAATAAACAATTAGACATTTAGCATTTAATCACATTTTGGCAATAAATAATATTATGTCACTCAAGAAAAATAAATATAAATATTATCACAAAATAATAATAACAATAATAATAATAATAAATATAATATTAATATTCTCAAATAATCCACAAATAAGCAGGGCACTACAAATTCTTTCTCTCTCTTTTTATTTTTTCTCTCTAGTTTTGTGTTGGGAGGTCAATGACTCAATCTTTCAGGCGAAATTCCGGCGACTTTACTTTTATCCAAGATTCGAGCTTTATGCATTATTTTCATCTGATCTTGCTATAGGAGAGTAAGTACTTTGATTAGTGTTTATTACTTTGAGTTTGTTTTCCTTCTTTCTACGTTAGTGTTTTGGTCGGAATTTTGTGTTTATGCTCGATTTTAGGACTTGCTTTATTTTTCAATGCTTGCTTACGTTTGTTAGGAATACAATTCGTTCTTATCTTATATAATGGTCTCGACTTTGCTCAAAGCGTGATGATTTAGTGAAGAAGATTCGTGTTAGATTACCTAGGATCACTTTGGTCGCATGTTTTCTCTTTGTTTATTTTCGTTTTCTTGTGTTATGAAGACTTCGTGCAACCAAAGTGTAAATCATTTCTTCCAAATCTCTCACCTTTAATCAATTGCTTTCAATTCGTAGTGCAAATTAAGTTAATTTCAACCCAATCAAGCGAGTAGCATGTTTAGGACATTATTTTCGGTTTTGTGAATTGACGACTACATAGTCAATGAAGATCCGAATAACCTTCCTCGAGAGACACAACCAGAGGCCGATCTTTTGATCGTACTCAGCTAAAAACTACAAACAGGTGGTCCACGCATCGTCAAAAGTATGCTCTAAGTTCTTCTCGGGAGCTTCGATCGCCATAGACGACGCCAAAATGGTATAAAACGACCTTGATTTTCCTTGCACGGCGTGGATCTATGTTCTAACATGTTCGTAGACCTGCAAAATGGATCAAGAGGGTTCTCGGTGTTAGCACTTCTACGATCAAATCAGTCCACAGTGATAGACAATGAACAATATATGTAAAGCAACTCTGTAAGTATATAGAGTGTGTATAGAATGTAGAGTATAAAAGAAGATACTTCACCCCTTTATGTAGGGGTGTCACCTTGTTGTCCAAGACTGCCCGTGCTGCCCGTTTGTACTGCCCAAACTTCCCTGCTCAATTCTATTAGGCCACATGGCCCTGTCCACGTGTGGTTATTATCCTAATTATATTGTTTCTTATCTATTAGTCTTTTATTAAACTGTCTAATCAGGAGACCGACTTGATTCACCTCGAGGTAGAGTGTTTTCTGTGCTAAGCTCGCTCTTCTGTTCGATATATCCATCTACCAATCATGCCTTGAGGTCAAGTTTTCACCAGGCCATCCGAGGGCCTTAGCTTGACCTGTCGTGGTTCTTCTTAAGTGTGACGTCCTCCTCGACCTGTCAGTGATACCTCTTCACGTAGCATCTTCGTCGACCTGATGACTCACACAATCTCTGATCGACCTATCACTTCACCCGACCCAGTTGGCTGGTTTCTGAGGTTAAATCAATCCGATATGATATACTATATCAGGCAGTATGTTGTATGATATATGAATTATTGATTCTTAAAATAATAAATTGTAACTAATATATTTTAAAAGTCAAAAAAATGATTATATAATGAGGTGAAACTTTGTATCATCTAACTTCCCAGATCACCCAAAGAACTTAAAATAATTAATAGGCCAGTACATGAGTTTGGCCCTTGCCCCTTTGACTTGCACAGTATGTTGTCAAGATTATAAGATTATCTACAAATGTCTTTGATTAAACTGTTTCTTAATTAATCTAACTCCCTCGATAAAAAGTCCCTTTATACAGCAGCCACAAAGCACATGTGAAGTAAAATTATTAGAGAGAGAGAGAAAAAAAAAAAAAAGATAGCTAGCCAACCAGTTTCAAATAATCTCTCTCTCTTTCAAACAGCTGCAAATCAAATAGTCTAAACACAGAAAGACATATAGAGAGAAATATGGGAAGAGCTCCTTGCTGTGACAAGGCAAATGTGAAGAAAGGGCCATGGTCTCCTGAAGAAGATGCTAAACTCAAAGAATTTATCGATAAATTCGGTACTGGTGGGAATTGGATTGCTCTACCTCAAAAAGCGGGTGAGAAAATAACTTTTTAAAAATATATACTAGAAAGTTTCATGGCTTATGTGTTTTGAACTCCTTGTTTTGCTTATAATATTGGGCTTGTAATGAGCAGGTCTGAAAAGATGTGGAAAGAGTTGCAGATTGAGGTGGCTTAATTATCTGAGGCCTAATATAAAGCATGGAGAATTTTCAGATGAAGAAGATAGAATAATATGCACACTCTATGCAACCATTGGTAGCAGGTATTGGATATATATATATATATATATATTCATGTAACCCAATTANTTTTTTTTCTCTCTTTCAGTTCCTTATAATTTTTTTCTGTTTCTGCATATTTTCTTCTGGAGTACATGTATATGATTTATCAAGTTTTGTTTTCCCAAATATTCTGCTCAGATTTTCCATGTAATGTTAGGTTTCCATCTGTATAGCATCCAAATTTTAACTCAAATAGGAAAGAAAACAGAAGAATAACCATTATCCAGACACGAAAAGAGGGCTTACACAAAAGATCTGCCGGAAATTTGAATGTTAATTATTCATAAAAAAATCAACAGCTAGCATCTGCTATTTTTCACCATTTTATGCATGCATGCCCACTTTTTTATAACTACACCGCCAGTTTTTTGTGAATATTTGGTCACATCTCTCTATCATAAAACTTTCTTATGGAACATGCCTTTTATTTTTGTGGAACAGCTCAAAAACTTTCTTCTTATGGAACATGCCTTTTATATTTTGTTCCATCAATAATTAATATTTATTATTAATATTAGGGGAGGAAAAATTTGTAACCTATTATACACGTTTTTTTTTCTNAACGTGTATGTTGCAAATTTTTAATTTCTGTTAGTATTATTAAGAGTATGTTGATAAAAAAAAATAAAAATAAAAAATTGCAGGTGGTCAATCATAGCAGCCCAATTACCAGGAAGAACAGACAACGATATCAAAAACTACTGGAACACAAAGCTCAAGAAAAAACTCCTCATGGCTACCTCCAAATTATTTTCACCCAACAACACATTTCAACCCCAAATTTCTCTTCACAATCAACCCCAACTATCTAGCCAAATTTACACCCCAAACGTTCACAATTATCAAAACTCATTCAATTTGCAGTCAAACCCCCAAAACCTAAATTTCATGTCCCTCAACTATGCCAATTTTCCACTACCCACCACACAAAACCCTATCTGTTACTTCCATCAAATCCAAGATGGTAGCAATTTAGTTGATTTTCAGTACAATTTTCCCGGGAAATCCGAAAATAGCGTCATTAACGAGAATAACTTGTTAGTTTTCGGAGGGAAAAATGAAACGAGCCGTACTTCTTCATCCGAGGGGAGTTGCTCTAACAAAATCGGCCATCATCCTGTAAAAACGGAAGATCTAATGGCGGGTTGTGATGATTTTCATTACTTTTTACCAGAAAATTATCAAAAGAGTTTGTTGATTAGGGATGACGATAACGCGGCATTTGGTAATCTGCCAAACAGGGCCTTAGAGTGTGATGATCTGGCGCAGGTCAAAGGGTTTGATAGCGCTGGGGGTAATAATTACGGCGGTAATTTTTTGCTGGGTGACGTTATTAACCGTGATGATGACGGTGAAAACAAGTCTCACGACTACAAGGGGTTTTACTATTAATTACCACTCATGAATCGTGACTGATGTGTTGTTGTCAGATTCTCATTTGAAAAAAGTACAATCTGCGAGGGCGTGGGCATGGTGGGTTGTACTCTTGGGGTTTTTGGAAATGGAGAAGGAAAAAAATAAAGAAAAAGTCAAAATTGATTTGAGTTTGGAGTTTTGTTGATGTGATGGAGAATTGAATGGGGAGAAAGATTGTTTTTCAGTTTGAACAGTACATAGTAAGATTTAAATGATTATATATGTTTTAGGCCAAAAATAAATAAATAAATAAAAATTGTGGTGTGTCTTTTTGTTACTGCTTCTTATTTTTTTAAATGTCATTTTGGCTTATCAACTATTAACCAAAATAAATGTCGTTTTGAATCTTTTGTACATATTTTTTCATTGTTATCCTCATTTAGTTAATAAATACACTACGTCTTTTCATATTCTCTTTATTTTTTTTTAAAATATTCATCTCTATCTTCATTAACGAGGGTTATTATTGGCAAAAAAATTATTCTTAATTAGTGTGCAACTTCTCAAAACGACACTTATTATGAATAGGAGGAAGTATTATTATATCTATTTTTTGCTGTACATTACTAACTAACTAGTGTTCAAACAAAACAAATCTCTATGCCCTTATCATGAACTTCTGACAAAGACAGTAAAGCAGACACTATTCATGTCTTCACTAACAACCAGGTGCACACAACTAGGGAAGTGTCATAATTGATACTATTATAAAATTATTTTGTGTTCTTCATTATATATTGACTTTGGTTCATTTACATTTGAAAGTCTTGATTAAGACAAAAAAAAAAAAAGGCCATAATATTTGGTGGATTTACGAAAATCAGACACCATGACTTTCAGATTGTGTTTTTAGAGACTGTTAGTTGGATCAAGAATATTTATAAGAAAAATACTAGTGAATTGATTAAAAAATGAATCTATACGCATAGGCAATATTTAATCTGCATGGTGGCAGAAGATATGAGAGAAAGAAGAAAAAACATAAGATCTTAGTCTGTCTTAATTGGCTGGCCATATAAAATTAACAAGCCATGCACTGTATGCATGTCTATTTTAGTAAATTGAATTAGAAACAAATTGGCAATGGCATGGTAATTAGAAAAAAAAAAAAAATGAAGTGACGTCATATGACTGGATTTGGAGGGAAAACGCCTTTCACGGCAAAGCTTCAAATTAAAATGTCGATATGGTCGTATTTGATTTGATTGGTTAATCATTGACCAAACGTCTTATGAGTTATGATTATAAATATGATAAAGAGGTCCCATTAGAGTTGACTCTTGCTCTTAGGTAAGCTAATTATTTTGGTCCAATATTTTAGTGATCATATACAGCAAGCAACCTCGTTTGAACTTTTTCTCCTTTAATTTCCTTTTTAATTTTCTTTATTTCTTTTCTTTTGTTCNCCCCAACCTGTATATAAAAATGCTTTAAATGGGTTGAAAAGTCACAAAGCTACAATACCAATGTCTGATACATCAAGTCAAACGAAAAATAAAATAAAAATAAAACCAAAAGCAAGAAAAAATACAAATAAAAGCTGACAACAAAATATAAAGATAACAGATCCTGGTCTAGGGAGAGTCCCGGCGAAAAGGCCAGCATCACAGTGTGGTAGAGGTCCCAAAATGTAAGTCCGACTGTCCAAATCTGAACGATGGGTATCCAATCTGATTCATCCGTATAAGGGTGCGGAGGCGTAGAGGAATGTTGTCAGGCTGACGAATACGTCTCTGTGTAGAGGAGGACCCTGTGCCAGCAAGGTAATCAGCAGGTCGGTTCCCCTCACGGAAGATGTGTGAGATCTGATATCTAATCGATCGAAGTATGGCTCTAATACGCATGAGTGGGTGCTGAATCTGCCAAGTACCCTGATGGTCAGAGGTCAGAAGTGTGACGACGGCGGCAGCGTCCAACTCAATCCAAATATGTGACGATATCGAGGCAGCAATCTGGAGACCGATCTGGAGTGCCTGAATCTCTGCGTCATAGCTCGAGGATGCCCGAAATGGTGCATGGAAAGCGGTAATGAGGGCACCGCTGTGATCCCTAATCAGGCCCCCTCCTCCAGCAACTCGAGTATGTCGGTCAAAAGTTCCGTCACTGTTTAGCTTAACCTAAGGCAACTCGAGTTTCAGCCAAACAACTGCTCTAGGTCGAGTATGCTGGGCAGGCGGCTGCGGAGGTGGTGCAAGGCGGTGGGGTGTCGTGCAGCCTGTCCAGTCTCTCTGGTTGAGTCTGCCCAAAGCAGAAAGGAGGGAGAGATGTCGACCAACCTGCAGAATAATATGGGAAAACAAAAAAGAGTTATCCTTATGCTTCGCATTATTCCTTTCTGTCCAGGTGGCCCAAAGGATCAGACAAGGAATAAGGAAGCCCATGTGTCTACTGTGTGTGCGGTGTCTGAAAAAACTCAGGAGCTCAAAGAAAGAATCTGTGGAGGGTAGTGGAATATGTGTATAACTAGTGTAATGCTCTCACACTCTCCTCACAGTCTCGCTCTCAAAAAATAAATGAGAGAAGGTCTCGGTCTGAAAGTCGCCTGTCTGAGTACAATAGTAGCAACGCGAGGGGAAGGAGAATCCCCTCGCCTGCATCACAACATCAATCGGTAGACGGGCAAAAGGAGGCGCCAAAGGAAAACAGAGATGGTAGGTGTAAGTAGGTCGGTCCAGATGGCCCCGAAGAGAAGGTTAGGCCGGTCACCCTGCCGTACTTCCCCCCAAGCCGAGGTCGTAGAGAATGCACCCGAAGATGTAAGTATCCACCTCATACCATCGAGACCTCCCTCCGAGATAGGAATCTGCTGGATCTCATCAATAACCAGATCACTAAAGCCCGCTCCTGTACCCAGAATCCTCTCTAACCTATCCCTATCCCAACCCCCCTCCGTCCATAGGTCTCTCACCTGAAGAAAGGGAAGGTGGGTAACCTGCCTAGTGCTCGAAAGGGGACCCTCTCCGAACCACCACTCATCCCAAAAGCTAACATCCCCTACACCCAGAGTCCAAAAAATGTGCTCCTAAGCATGTCTACCAATCATGGTGAGTCGCCTCCACTGCCTGCTATCGCGGGCTGTGGCCGTCACCCTACAGGGATGGGCAGCGCCTCCAGGACAGTACTTCCGACGAAGATACTGAGCCCAAAGTGACTTGCCCTCCCTAAATCGCCACCACATCTTATAAGACAATGCAGTGACGACATCCGAGAAACGCCGGATCCCGAGACCCCCCTCAGAGAAGGGGCGAGAAACAGAATTCCACTTCACCCAGTGGACCTATCTCCCTCTCCGAGAGCCCTCCCCATGCCCCCAAAAATAACGGGCCAGAATCTGATCTAGCTCGTGAATAGTAGACTGGTGGGGGTCAAGGACCGTAAGGAGGTGGAGCGGGAGGGTGCTGAGGGTGCTCTTAATCAGAGCAAGCCGGCCCCCAAAAGAGAGGTGTCTGTGGGACCAACTGGAGATTCGGTCAATCATCCTCTGTCTAACGACAAAAAAGAGCTCATGCGAGAGGTGGCCCTTGTACAAAGGTGCACCAAGGTAGGTGATGGGAAGGTCTCCACGCGCGAAGCCAGTGCGCTCGTGGACCCAGTGGTCCCACTAGTCTGCAATATGATGATCTAGGGTGAATGTGCTCTTTTGCACACTGACAAGCTGACCGGACACTAAGCTGTAGTGCCCCAAGAGGCGCATGAGCTCCGCCAGTCCATTATTATCCGCACGAGTGAAGATAATAATGTCATATGCGTAAGAGAGATGCGAGATGGGAGGACCATAGCCACGCGTGCTATAGGTCATCCTCGGGAAGTCGCGAATGAAGCCGTCAAGGCAACGAGACAGGTAATCCGCTGCCTGGACAAAAAGAGAGGGGGGATAGAGGATCTCCCTGCCGAAGACCTCGGGTGGAAGGAAAGAAGTTAGTAGGGCTGCCGTTAACAAGGATCGAGAACGTGCAGTGTTCCACGCATGCTTCCACAAAACTAATCCAACGCTCGGGGAACCCCATCCGAAGCAGAACCTCCCTGAAGAACGGCCACTCGACCCTATCATATGCCTTAGCCATATCTAGCTTCAGCAAAAGGTTCGGGGCTCGTAACCGGTTGCATGGGAGATTTCATGGATCATCTCTTGGGCCAAAAGAATGTTATCACTAATGACTCGATCCTTGATGGATCCACTCTGATTCGGAGAGACGAGGGAAGGGAGAAGAGGGGCTAATCGACCATTAAGGATCTTGGAGATGATTTTGTTGGTTACATTACAAAGGCTAATAGGTCTATAGTCGGACCAGGAACTCGGGCCTGGTCTCTTGGGTATCAAAACAATAGAGGTCGTTGTGAATGACTCCGGCATCTGGTGACCTGAGAAGAAATCCACCACAGCTTCCTTGACGTCAGTCTCCACAATCTCCCAGCAGCCCTGGAAGAAGAGAGATGAGAAACCATCCGGACCAGAAACACTGTTGGGATCAATCCCAAAAACAGCCTCCCTGATCTCCTCCCTACTCGGGAGGTCGCAGAGGTCAACAAGGTCGACCGACTGCGGGATGGTGGGAAACAAGGAAGTGTTGGGGGGCGTAAACAAGTCGCGATCTGGGGTGAAGAGGGACTGGAAGTGTGTCACAGTCGACTCCCGTATTTTGGACTCCTGAGTCAGGGAAGACCCGTTATCCTCGATACAATAGATGTACGACTTAACCCGCTTCTGCCTCACAAACCCCTGAAAGTACTTTGTATTACGTTCCCCCTCAGCAACCCAGCGCACAGCAGCCTTCTGCTTCCAGAAATCCTCCTCCATGAGGAGACGAAGCTGGTACTCAGCGTGACAGCGGCGCATCGCGGTCCTATTCTCTAGAGACGAGTCCAAATCATAAGCTCGCTCAGCAACCGCATACGCACTCTGAGCAGCAACAAGGTGCTGCGAAATATCTCCAAAGACCATCCAATTCCACTGCTTCATACTGCGCCTCATTCTA